GGTTGAGCTAACAGCGGGCGTTGTGTCGTGCAACTCTACAGTTGAACTTCTTAAGCTCTCACAATCCAAATGTGGGACCTTTTGGAGACTACCATCACAACGACCCCTCATTCATTATTGGTCTAGTCATAAAGGACCCTCGGCCGTACTGAAAGCCATAATATAATTGAATACTTCATTTCTTGTAGACAAAATTACATTTTTAGTCCTACTAGTTTAACGTCATAGCATTTTTTGGCCCAAGATTTCAACTTTTTGCCTTTTAATCTTGTACTTTAATATTTTGTTAAAAAGGACTGAAATTGCAATAAAATTTAAAATTATAGGACTTAAATTGTTAATTAAAAATTTATTCCAAAGATTTTTTATTAACAATTTAAGTCCTGTATTATTAAATTTTGTTGCAATTTCAGTGCGTTGAATTTTAAAATTATAGGACCAAATAGCAAAATGTTCAATTTTTAGGACTAAAAACGCCATTGGATCAAACCAACACGACTAAAATTGCAATTTTGCCTTTGTATTAACTTACAAAACATATGATCACTCAGGCTCAGAGCATCCACAATGCATTGGGTCTCTTAATAAAATATTATATGTCACATAGAAAATAGACTTAGTCTATAAAAAAATGTCTCCCAATGCAATTAAAAGTGGACATGGTCTAGTTTATGTGACAATAAAAAAAAGAGACTAAGTCCACACTTGGGTCAATTTTGGACTCAAGTATTAACCCAAACACTCATCATTTAGGACTAGTATTTTATTTTTGCATTTTTATTGGTTGACATGTATTAGAGCATTTTTATTGGTTGGCATGTATGCTAGAACTAGTATTTTATTTTTCCATTGAATAACTTTTGAATTTTTTTACTTGAGTTTGTCTATATCATTTAGGACTTAAGTCTATTTATATGTCACATATGTAAAATTAGACTCAATGCATTGTGGGTGCTCTCAGCTATTATTGTTTATCATTTCCCTTTTTAACTTTTTTTAAATGATTGCACTCTACTTTTTATATAACACAATTATTTTTGCAGGGTCTAGACCCAAAAACAACAGCGGCCCTATTCGCAAAGGCCCAATGCTTGGGCGAGAAGCGGATCGGAGACGACGACTGCTTCGTCCTCAAGGTAGCGGCCGACCGATGTGCAGTGGCAGAGCGTAGCGAGGGCCCCGCCGAGGTAATACGGCACGTGCTCTACGGTTACTTCAGCCAGCGCAGTGGCCTCCTCGTGTACATGGAGGACTCGCACCTTACGCGGGTCCACTCCACAGACGATGCCGTTTATTGGGAGACGACAATTGGGAGCGGAATTGGGGAGTATCTTGACGTGGACGGTGTCCTTATTGCCCACGGAGGGCGCACGGTGGCCACCGTGTTCCGGTTCGGGGAGACGTCGGCCGAGCACACGAGGACACGGATGGAGGAGATTTGGCGGATACGGGACGTTGTGTTTGATGTGCCGGGGCTTTCGGGGGACTCTTTTATACCGCCCGCGGATGTATTTCACGCGCCCCCAACTGCTGTGTCCCCCTGATTTGTATATTTTTTTTTTCGGAAATTGGGGATGAAATTAATGGATGGGAATGGATACCACGTGTAATGTAAATGGGTGATGCGCTAATTTTCTTCCACACTGCATGCTCTTCCTTTTGATGACGATTGCACGTTATTAGAATTAGTCTAAATAGTTTATTAGTATTTGACGGTTTTGCTATGTAGTCATCGGATGGCTCGACTTATGGAGCCATATCCATAGTTATCTATAAATGGTGTATTGACACGTGTCTTGCAATAAATACACACTGGTTACGTCTCAATACATAAAGTTATGGGTGACTCCATAAGGGAGTCATCCGATGGCTTCATAGAATTTCTGTAGTATTTGATTATACATTTGATTGGTTTTTCTGTCCAATAACTGATGTTGAGACAAACTGTTACAAACTAAACACTGACATTGGTATAACAAAATGAAGATCAAGAGCTGTATTATGAAGATTCCCTTAAGGACAAAATTAAAATTATCAGAATTCAATTCTACATAAATACAACAGTTAATGATGAAAAAAAGTGATACACTAATAAAGAAATAAGCTCAATTTTCATTCGTTTACAACTCAAGGGCCTGGTCTAGTCCTGGTCCACTGGCACATTTCGTTTCGTTGTAGAAATGAACAAAATGTTTTGGCAAAAATCCATAACTGTAATTCTTAGAAAAAAAAAATTCCATATAGAAACATGGTAGGCATATAATTGCTAAATTATAATAAAACTTCCAAAATAAAAAAAAAAAAAAAAAAAAAAAATCGGCTCCGCCAATTCCGCCGGCGGACCTCGTCAAATTATTCAACTAAAATCGTCTCGTTTCAAGGGCCGCTTATTCATGCCCACCTAACTCTGCCAAATTACCGGGCTCCTCACTTGAGACGTGCCCTTGAGGCAGCGATGTCTCGTTCTTCTCCTCCGATGAGCCGACTACTATACAACGGCGGCTGAGCCACGATTTGCATGCTTCATGGAGCCGTTGCCAACCGGGAGCTAGGGGCGAAATCAAGAAATTAGTTGAGAGGGGCAAAATACATGACATAATGGATTCAGAATCAAACCCTAATAAATTCAGAACCGATACCGAAACGCTAATATTTCGGTAACCGATTTTCGGTTACCGTTACACATAAGTCGGTTCGGTTGGGTTTATTTTCTCATCAGTTCGGTTCGGTTTTCGGTCAAAAAATACCATTCCTGGTGAGTGACGTTTAAAAACAAAAAATTTGGGGTGCAAAAATAAATTTAAAGATGGGGCAAATTAAAATTATTAATATTAATAATAAAAAAAAATTAAAATTTGAGGGTGGCAATTGTCCCCCTATCACTACATGTAAACTCGCCCCTGCTGGGAGCTTCCTTAAGGCACCGCCTTTGGTTCCGTACCCCCGACAGCTCTTGCAAGTGTCTTGGTTACATAAAAACAACTATTAAACACCATAAAAAAATTACAATAACAATTATCAAACAACATAAAAACAACTTGATGTCAATGAAAATGTATTAAAAAAACCCATGAACTGTGAGGTATATTTTCAATCCATCGCATAGAAGAAAGAATCCACTTTTCGTTTCAGATGCATATAAGAGATTTGTTAAGGAAACCTCCAACTCGGTGGTGAGTAATTTTCGTGATGCTGAGGGCACACGGCTGGAGGAGGTGAGTGAACTTGCACAAAATGCTGGTACTTTTCAAAAGTAGAAGAGTAAAGTTGTTTTTCTGGTGAGTGTTGAGCTTCTCGGGCGCACGGGCCGCGGGCACTGGAAGGCGCACGAGCGGATCACAGGCGACTGTGCGGACGCCCGGCAGATGCGCGGGTGAGTGCTGCGGACGCCAGGCCGACCTCGGGCTCGGCGCGGGCGAGTGCTATGGACACCAGGTGGATCTCGGCCACGGCGTGGGTGCGGCTCGGTCGGCTCGGACGGCTTGATCGGCTCGGTCGGCTCATTTTTTCAAGCTTCGCAATAATGGATCTATTTAACACCAAAAAGACAAGAAAATACGACAAAACACAAAAACACAAAACGAAACAAAAATACACAAAATACGATAAAATGGACCGGTCGACACTAAAACGAACCTAAAAAGACTCGACTAAGGCACATAAGATATATGAAGAACACCACAACAAACACCAACTCGAGTCATTTATATCTGAATTGGGTATGTTTTTATCTATCTGAAAGTGATATATATTAAGTATGAGAGGGGTGTATTGGGAGTTCTTGAGCTCATGTTGAAAATTTGAAGAATTTAAGGCTCCTTAGGTATCATGTTCTATTGATTATTTTGGGTAATGTGGTCCATGTGGGGACTTTCTTTGAAATTCGTTATAACATTGGAGTTCGAGAGTGCTTGATGGTACGTATTGATTCGTGGGGTGTTAGTACCTTATTGTATATACATTGGGGAACCGAAAAGAGCATCGGCGACTCGTTTTCCATATACTTGCAGAGAAATGATACAAGGAGTATTTAAAGGGAGAGATGATAGTGCATGAAGATCTTGCACTTAATTTGGAGAAGATCGAAATCAAGACATGAAGATATTGATGAAGGTCTTGTACCTGATTTGGACAATCAAGAAAACAAAAAAGAATTGTTCCTGCGCAAATATTGAATGAAGATTCTGAAGATCTCCAATCAAAGAGGCCGAACTATTTTTGAAGAACATTGACTTCATATAGAAACGTTGAAAAGATATGAAGACGACTCACTATGGAATTTGTATATATGCTATCACCAGCACTCAGAGAGGTGTTGCAATGATTACGATTAGCATTAAATTTATTGTTCAATTAGTCTCTAAGAAATTGTGAGTTTGTTTTGCATTTTCTTAGATTAGATATTCAACTATTCAGTTTTGTGTTCTTACATTATTGAAGAGCTAATCTAATTTTTACTCATAATTCTTGGGTACTAAGGGATTAATAAGTACTTTATTAGCTTGGAGGGATTTCAAATAGCTGCTTTAGTTCATGTTGTAGCCAGGAAAGTAATTTGTAGTTTCGGGTATAGAGTTTGTAGGTTTAAAAGGGAGTCATCAACTTGTAATCCCAAACTACACGACGTGTGTAGGGTCAGTTTGCTAATTAAAGAACTCTGATAGTAGTGAGACGTTTTTCAAAGACGAATTTGTTTATTTCGCTTCCGCTTTTATTTAAATACATTTTGTGTACTCTACATGTTTACCCACAAATTTTCATAGAAGAACATTTTTTATTTTTGTTGTTAAAAGAAATTAAATAAAGTGACTTAATAGTAAAAATAAAATAAAATAAGGTCTGGGAGGATAAGGCCCCACCCCCATCAATTCACCCGAGAGCAAGGAATATATTCAATTTGAAGAACAAGTTCTCAAAGAATATTAAGATGCTTAAAATTTAAGCAAACATGCCCAATATCCAATTCAATCTACTTTTGCACTAACTATGGTGTAAAAATAAAATGAGCTACAAAAGGTTAAACTTCAACTTTTGAGGCATATGCTTTAATAAGACAGCAAGTCTAACGTGATAGTCTAATTTAATTAACTTACTAAAAATTAACTATTCAATATATCCTTAGTACCTAGCGATCTTGTATGTGCTAAGATGTTAAAAGGTGCCTCAGATGGTTTCAATTTGTATTAGTTGCATTACATGTTAGTTAATAAATTTTTACATAAAAAAAAATAAAAAAATAGACGTTTAATTTATACTTTTTAATTAAGAAAAGACGTTATATTTTTTTTCTATTAAAAATGACATTAGCGCCCATAAGACCCGCATTAATTTACAATAGTTTAAGTAACTCAAATTACATAATTGCTTATCAATATTTTACATCAAATTTAGTTTGGTACATGGGTTTTATTTTACTCATCAATACTAATTTTATTACTTTTCAAATCAGTATTCATCATAGATATGTTTTTATTTAATAAAATAGATAAAAAAAATTATTTATTTTATATGTGCAATATGAACATCAACATATCATCAAAAGGTAATATTTTATATATGCAATATGGATATTAGATCTAAGATTGTTAAAAAGTGACTAATTTGATCTCTTATATTTGAAGAGTTAGTAATAATTAAAATGATTATTAAAATTAAAATATATTTTAATTAAGTTGAACAAAGTAGATTGTATTTCAAAAGTCGTGCATGCAAAACAAGATCTATATCGACTATTCCCGAAGTACAAAAAAATGACATATAAGATTTCCAAGCACAAAATATTGATAACGAAATTATGAAACACTAAATTTTGATAATTAGGCTCGAGAAATTTGAGATATCATTTTGATG